ACAGACAACCTCTCGTCAATATGCGTTTTTTGCATTGCATTGCTGCAAAAAACGCATAATAAATAGAGGCATGTAGCAGGGTAGCCGGTGCGATCGTGCGTTTTCAGGTGCGATCAGCGGACAGTTACTGTTGAAAATATTCACTGCTTTACAGTTTGGTATGCGTTAAAAACAAAATTCCATGTGCCCGTGAATGAAAATTAGGCGTTTGTGAGAGCTAGATTTGAATTTTTTGATTCGTACAGGAACCATCTCTCAAAAATTCTAGCTTTCTGTTTTCTTCAGTTTTCGAACTGGAGACGTAAAACTGCAATTCACGTATTCGAGACGTAGGCGTGACCGGAAGCTGGACTTGGATTCCAGGGTTGTACATATCATACTAAATTTTCAATTTTCTACCCTATAGGTGGAGAATTTCGCGCTACAGCTTTCATGCTTCTGTATATGAATCTTTGTCGTAAATGAAGGCTTAGTTCAATTTTTTTGATATTAGACAGGGGCCTGGAATATTATCTTAAAATTTCAGCTTCCTAGTTTTTGTGATTTCCGAGTTAATAATTTTGCGTCACAAATTTTGTGTGTCCGCGCGCGAGATCTAAGCGTGTCCGGCGGTTGAATTTAAGCCTGCGGGATCGACGCAGAGAGGGCACATCTCCCCACCTCCTCTGATCCTCAAGTTGTAAATTTTGATGTCAAGACTTTGGTGTGATCGTGCGCGAGACTTAGGACTACATGGAGAGTGAAATTAAACTTGCGGGTCACAAGTGGGTGGGGAACATCATCCTAAAATTTCGGCTTCCTGGTTTTGTGGTTTCTAAGTTATTAATTTTAGCGACAAAGTCAAATGGTCGTGCGCGAGGTCTAGGCATACGCCAGGCTTAATTTAAATTTACGGAGTCACGCGTGGGGGAAGGTAGTGGAGGGGAGGGATTCCCCTTCTTCAAGTTTCATTTTCCTGACTTCTGTGGTTCTCAAGTTATTAGTTTCGGCCCCAAAATTTTTTATGTGCTCGTATATGAGGGTTAGGCGTGCGTGAAGGCGGAAATTAAATTTTGCGGGGACACATGGGTCTAGAACATTCCCCTAAAATTTCAACTTCCTATCTTTTGCGGTTCCCGAGTTGAAAGTACGAACAAAATGCACTCGGACAAACCCACACACACACAAAACACACAAAGACGGGGATGTGGCATATGACTTCATGCTGACTTCGCGGAAAATTTGTTTTGTAGTTTTTGAAAAAGAGGAGGTACTTTGTTGTTTTTGTGTTTTATGCATTTTGTGCTGCAGCAGTTGCACAAAAAGCATTACGTGAAGGACCTGTCTGTGGGTGTATGTATATGTTTGTCCCTAGTACGTTTTATCCGGATTCAATTCGGGAACCGGAAAGCTTGCGAGCTAAAATTTTATGAGAATGTTCCCTGCTCACGTACGACTCCGCAAATTTAAATTTGGCTTTCACTTATTTATAGGTCTCACATACAATTGAAAACTTTGCCGTGAAGAGTACCAGCTTAGAAACTGTAAAAGTTAAGGGGCTGAAATTCTGCGAGGGCGTGTTCTATGCATATGTGCAGCTTAAAGCTTTAAAATTCTTCACTCTCGTGCATCTGGATCTCACAGCCGGACACTTATGGCTTTGGCGGGAAAAGTACTGATCAGAATTAGGAAGCTAAAATTGACGGAAAATTTTGCGCGCCCATGTGCGATACAGAAAATTTTAGATTCTGCTTTCGCATGCGTCGACATTTCACGTGCAGAAGTGTGCAATTTGGCAAGAAATTGCTCAACCCTGGAACCAGAGAAGCCAGTAAACCGAAATGATGTTTCCTTGCCATGTCCGAATCCAGAAGTTTTAGATTCGTTTTTCGCGTGTGCCTGTGCGAAAAGATGTTTTAGTGGGAAGATGTTTTAGCCGAAAAGATGTTTTAGTGCGAAAAGATGTCTTAGCCGAACAGAACAACCCGACAATTTCTTGCACATGCCAAACAGCAAAGCAGTGAACATTTTTAACAGCAAATATCCGTTAGACAGAACTGCGCCAGACGCACGATCGTGCCAGCTTACCTGGTGCGCGCCGCTATTTATTTAACTTTATTCTAAACTTGACTGGAACAGCCAAGTTGTGTCGTGATTGGATTTCACTTAGGATCACGTTTTTTGGTTTTAATGTTTGCAGACAGTTCGCGATGGTTTTTGTGCAGCAGGCACTTCGCCAGCGGCGTGTAGCTGACGCTGTCGGTCTGTATCGGGCAGCTCGTGGTTTATGGCCATCGGCTGGTATTTTTGGTAAGGATGACATAGCCGCCGAAGATGAATTTTTGGAAATTCGTGCCATATATTTCACTGATCTTGAAAAAGTAATTTCCATACGTTTAAGTTTTTTTTTTTTTTTTTTTACTTCGCTGAGGTTTCCAGCATGTTTAGTGATAAATGGGATGTAACAGTATATGGTAAATATTAAAGGCTGCACATTCAGTTTTGTGCCAAAAGATTGAAACTTCAACCACATTTTAAACTTTGTGAAAAACGTTGGCTTTCCAAGGGGAATAAGGGTACTTTGCAGGTAGGCAAGGCTGTCGACATCTTCTTTCAAAAGGTGCGTAAGGCTAGGAAGGAGATGGCAGTCTTGCTTAATTTTGCTTGATGTGTAATCATATATCTTTTTTTAGTCAAATATAGCATTTGCACCATTTTTTTTAGACAAAAGTTGAAAATTACGAGCAAATGTTGTGAAAAGTCGTTAGAAATCTGTGAATCTTTTTAGAATTTACATTTATGCTTTTTAAAACAGATTGAAAAAATCTGGAAAAAGTACCGAGAACAAGAATATGGACCCGAATTGGAAGAAGATTATGATGCGGAACAGGATAAGTTAGGAGAGGAAGGTAGCTTGTCTGACCCGGATGACGTTCAGTCTCGCGCTGTTGAAATCGACTTTCATTTTAACGAATATGTCGCAAAATTTGCACGAGTTGATGTCTTGAAATGGTTATCCTTTCAATAATTTTCCTTTTAAGTTTTTTGATGGGATACCAGAAATTACGAGCTGAAGCCAATTAATCAGGTCTAAAAATCAGTTTGCAAAGTTACGTCAAAGCTTTTCCGTACTTTACTCCGTGTACTTAGTAGTCGCCCAACTGGTAGCATTCCAACAACAATCAATCACTAGCAATGTTGTCAACATGTTTCTTTCCTCGAATCGAATTATTTGAGGGGCAGGCTGAGGAGGATATGAATTCCCGGTATTCTAGTGCTGTTTTTATGCGTTTTTGTTGTTTAGCGCCACAGCAAATAAATAGTCGAGAGAACGTCCGTGTTTGTATGTTCGAAAGCGAGAGTATTTTATCTTCCATTTTCAACTCAACAACCAGGAAAGCTGGGATGCTGAAATTTTGGGAGCATATTCCCGCCCCATTTTTTATCCTCCTGTTTTAAAATCATCATCGCTCATAAGCACGTAGATCTCGCTTATGGACCCCGAAAAAATACGTACATTTCTTTGGCGGGAAATAAATGTAAAGCTGAAACCTTGCAAGGGTATTCTTTGTGCATGTATGAACTAACGATTTTCGTGCCAACTCGAAAACTTGTTGGAAAACAGTAGCTAAAATTTTGCCAAAATATTTGTCGCCTATCTGCGAAATCGTATACTTAAATGGAGTCTCGAACTGCACTTGCGCCACGACTTAGGACGCGTCAAATATGTTTGTAGCGATGTGGCTATTTCGTTCGCTAGACAAGCTGCGAGGCTGAAACTTTGCAGCTATATTCTGCATTCATGTTTTTAAGTAATTCAGCTTGGAGGTGAACTTGCCTGGATGCGGACATGACAAATATTCAATTTTATAGCAAATTCAAAGAAAGGGCATTTTGAAAATTTCATAATTATGCTTTTTTTTTTGCATGTATGCAAATGCAACCCAGGCTGGGACGCACCAGGCTCTCCGGTGCGATCATGCGTTTTTGCACTAAACTCGCTGATCGTTATTAGCAGGAATGATCCCTATGCTGTAGCCTAACACTTGGGCTAATATTGGGCGTGTTTTGATCCTTACCGGCACGCAGGAGGAAGGGCATCAGTTGGGATGAAGGTGGTGCACATCCAGGAACATGATTACCGGTTTTTTGCATGAAGTCCGGTCGTTTTTTCCTCGCTTTGTGAAAAAATGACAAATGCAAATTTTTTGAAATAACGCAAATTTCTAGTTCACTAGAAAGTGGAAGTATTGC